ACTACGCTGTATGCTGATTGAGACTAGCTCACACCATCCTCCCACCAAACCTAAGACAGATGCCAACATTAGCTCCATTTTCAGATGAACAAATAGAGACTTGGAAAAGCTAATACAGCAGCCAAAGTCACAAAGCCAGGGAATGGTGAGGCTGAACTCAGATCCAAGGGCCTCTGATCAAAGTCCATACTTCCAGTCACTGGAGAATGCTGCTCTCTACCAATGATAAAACATCATTAGAAGTTCCACAGAAGTGAAATCAAAATGGCATATTCCTTAGGGATTCCAGGAAAGATGCAGAGAAAATATTTTAACTGAATCTTGAATGTTGAAGTGGAGTGTTTTTAGCAAGAATAGTGAGGTGTGACGAGACAATGGAGAGTTTTGTGGTGAGAAAAAGGAGGGCACCTGAGGGTCTGCTCACTGAGGCATCTTCAGGAGCAAGAGCATCAATGGCTGAGGGCTCTGGGGTAGGGAAACTAGGGTCCCCAATGGGCTGTCCTATAGAGTGAGCAAATCAGAAATCACTTTAGATAATGACAAAACACAGGCAAGGCAACATGGAAAGGAAGCAGAATCAAAGAAGAAAGAATCTTTCAACCTGATTACTGTAATTCAGAAGTGATTTCACATGATAACTACAACAAATAGGTTGCATGAGAGACACTCCCTTTCACTCCACGTATTCTAGACCTTCTGCAGCAAAACTACAATCTCCACCAAAATGTAGAGTTCGTTTTCTAAACTTGAATCTAGGAGAGACTGGAATTACTTTGGCTGAAGAATGCCTTAGTCTCACAGGTTCTACGTGCCTCTGTTCACACTCTGGAACCCATGCCACCTCAGGGTGACTGTGACCTGAGAAACCTGCTGAAGGAGACACTACAGGGAAGAGAATGCTGCTGACTCTCCTGAGGCTCTCCTTGACCACAGCTAACCAAATCCCCAATCTGTGCGCTGGTTCCACAGGGATGGGTACAACCGTCTCCCGACCCACAGGTAACCAAAGACACATAAGTCAAGGGACTCTGGGAAAGGCAGACAGCAGCAGAACGACATCTCCCACTCACGGACCTGTAAGCAGTGAAGAAGAGCACTGCTGTTCAACCTGAGCTTGGGGAGTAGATTGCTTTTTATTTGTACCATGCGGACATGTGTTGTTGTCTTCCATACCTCTTGTTCCAGATAGGTCTTTAATGGAATGACTCTCTACTTGAGATGTATTTGGGGTTGCATTAAAAAAGAGTATTTAGGTCATAGAAATTTGAGATTACTCAATTTATGTAATATATATTCATAATTCAAAATATATTCCCATTGCATATTCATATGTAAATACATATTAACATTCATAGTATATTTTTAAATGAATTAAACACCTGAAAACTTTAATGCTTTAATTTTTGGAATCACTGATGAACATCTCATTGGTCAGTGCTCCTCGAAATACCAGCTAGGAAATGTATGCTAGCGTTCTTTGTTTTGTTGCGAAGACAGGTAAACTTCAAGGTGCACCTTGGGCTGAGCAGGCAAAAAACCGGCTGGAGTGTAATGTCCACTTGTCTCCTTTTATCTTGTTCATAGAAACCTCTATTTTTCAAAGCAAAGTCTGCAGCAAAATGTGGTTTAAAATTAAACTGTGTAATTGCTATCCTTAATTTTAGAAGATCTATAACTAGGTAAGAGATATATTGATATGCTCTTAAGATGCGAGAATTATAGTGGTCTTTAGGCAAGTATGTGGTCTTCAGGCAAGTATGTAGTAAAATCGATGAACCCTCATCCTTTCTCTAGCCTTCTTTGTGACATATAAATGGCTCCAAGGGGTTCTGGGAAGAAAGCCTATGCAGATTGTTAATTCTGTGAGACCATGTCCTCACTATGTTATCGTGTACCGGTCTCTCTTCAGAAATCTTTAAGCACTGAAATGACTCTAAACAGTTTTCAAGGGGCTCCAGCTTGGGACCTATCCCTAGACAGCAGAACACAAAACGGAGCCCCAAAATAACTTGGCCAAGTCAGCAACATGTTTCGCTTTGACTGCTGGGGAGCTGCTGATGTGGGAGGAGAGTGGTACAGGGGTGTGTGTGTGTGTGTGTGTGTGTGGTTTCCATGTGTGTGTTCAGAAGGCCATCTGTCAGCTTGGTGATCCAAGCTATGAAGAAAAAAAAATCATGCATATTTATGAGGGTTGGAGGCGGAATAGGGCAGGAGTTGTTGAAGGCAAAGTGCAGAGAGGGGCTGGGCAAGGGGCAGCTATGACAGCGAACACTGTCTCCATTTGACATGGTGCTCCCGGAAGAAAAAGAACTTAAGATATAAGCTTTGGGTCCAAAGACATATAATCTTTACCCAGCCATTCGTCTTCAGTTTTGTTCACTCCCACTCAATGGCACACTTGCAGTGCAGGTATTCTGTGCCAATGCTCCCTTGTAATCAGGTCACGAGTAGGACACGCTTTCTGTCCTTGACAGACACACAGCGAGGAAGGTGCAAAGGCAAAGTAATCACTCCTGGTAGGCAATTTAAAGCAAATTCATTCATTTCTACCAACAGACATTCTATACTGAGTGACTAATATAAACTCTTAGAGTGCAGTGGTTATGGTTTTCTACTACCATTACAAACATAAGAAGACTAAAGACTGGATAGAGAAAATGACCTGCCAAAAGTCACAAAGCCATTAATGAAGCCAGGACTCAAAGCCAGTTCTATCTCATAACACGGGGCATTACCTCTGTGCTCAAAGGCAGCTAAATTTTAGGCACAGTGCTGGATTTCAAGAGCTACGATTTCACTGAAGATTTTGGGGAAACACAAAATCCAATGGCTCATGTAGACATATTGAGAGAAAAATAACATTCACCATTATCATTGCAAAGGGAAGCACAAGAGCCCGCAGAAAGAGGAGTCATCCAGTTTGGGGTAAGAAGGGTTCCAAAAGGAGGTGCATCCCCAATTTGAGAAGCTGGCCATCCCAGATCAGTCTAAACTGCTAGCTCCAGCACCGCTTGTTACCGCAACACACAGAAACACCCTCATTTAATCAAATTTACATCCTCTGCTAAGGACTTTCCAAGATGTTTCTTTTGGTCTTGCAAAGATAAAAGGCAGGCAGCACCTGCTTTTAACAGATAATGACAAAGAGCCTTTGAGAGACAAAGGGTTACTCAGAGACCCTCAGTCAGTGTCCATTTGTGACAACAACACCTAAGCCTTACACTGGCAAATCAGGTTAGTCCTTTGTGGCTGATGGCCAGTTCCCCAACGGAAAACCCCCAGCTTGATTCTCTTACCTGGGCTCTGTGTCGGTATGGACCAAGGCAGAGGAAACTAGTGGGGACTTAGGGTGACAGGCCACCTGGCAGGTTGCCTTCCTGTGGGAAATATAGAGGAGCCCCACAGCTCCCTGGCAGCTACCTAACATGCACGAACGGGGTTCCCGTTCTCTGTGTCCTTTCTCTTTTTTGAATAAGGACAAGAGACAAATGGGACAGCCAAGGTGACCATAGGAAGGAGATGAACTTTTCAACACATACTAACTGCTTTGTGTAGATGACAAACCTTGGACCAAGGGATAGAGAAACTCTACCAAGCCTCACGGGGGTGGGCAGGAGCTGGATCCAGTAGTGTTCATGTTTCTAAGATACAGCCTGAGCCTTGTGTCTCCTGCTTCTCTCAGGCCTTTGAAAGTGTGGAAATGTGTTACCACACTTGGTAGGTCTAGGGCTCAGGGAACAGAGAAGGGGCAGCTAATACAATCCATTCGTGCAGTCAGGTGTCCCCCAAACAAAACTCCTAGTATCTTTTAGGGTTCCAAAAAAATAGAGAATCCCCTTTAAGTGGAAGAACCCCTATCCTTCATTAGAGTAGAGTCAAGTGTCTACTGATTAAATATTCCTAAACTTGTTTCCTGCCTGTCATACAGCTACATGGGCTCACTTTTGGTAATACAAGGACCTCAGGAGACTCCCGATGTGATGTGGAAAGATGCGCTGTTCATAGGGGCATAATTGTTACAGGGCCACAAAGACAGGGATGATCCGCGACTGACCTTCAGAGCAGAAACCCCAAAAGTCTCCCTGATAACTTGATGTAGGGATATTAGGCAGCAGACAGGGCAGGGAGAAGGCAGGGTTTAGAGGGCTGGGCCAGAAGCGGGGCAAGGGTTCCTGTGAGCTGATGGAGCCCTTAGACAGCCTGTCTGCCAGGCTAAGAGGCTTAGGTTTTTCCCCTTGGAGCTATTAAGCTTGGAGAGGGTGTGATCAGAATGGCTAATAAAATCAGAAAAACTAGGGCAGCAAATAGAGCATGTTTCCTCGCATATCTAAACCTGTCAGGGGCAAGTGAGTCTATCCAGGCACAAATTGAACTGAAGGAAATTGTGTAATGGGGCTGGACCAATCGAAACCTGAAGAGTAGGCCAGTTCTCAGTGTTGCTGGCACTAGCAATAAGAGGCAGACTTCAGAGCCACGGTAGAGCTCCGTCTTTCTTTCTGGCTCAGATTCCTAGGAGTCCCTCCAGCAGATGGGGTCCAGATGCACGGGGCATAGCTGTCCTCACTGTGGCATACCCACCTGCTAGTATCTCCGCAAACATGCTATACACGGCCTTTTCTCTAAATCCCCGCTAATGGGATAGATAAATCCTTACACACCTCAAAGGAACTTCTCAGTGAATTTCAGATGGCGTGGGTAGAAGTCAATGACAGTGCCCTATATTTGACTGTGTACTGTAAACCTTTGGCTGGAGAACTATGTCCTGGAGCACCTGGGATCTTGAGTCCCTCAGGCAGAACTGTTTGTATTATCCAGCCCCATGCATTCATTCACAGAACAGACTTCTGCTGTGAATGGCCCTTGCTCTATAGTCCCTTTTTTCCCTTATGTCTCTGTTTCTATATCCATGAGGAACCAGATGTGACACTAAGACCAGAAAAAGGTTTTCCCGTCAGTCACAGCCTCCGCATGAATCCTGCCGCCAAAACAGATGTACTTACACTTACAGGTTGACTTTTTGGCACATCATAAACACCTTCCTTCTTCTGGCTGGTGGGAACCTACAGAGAAATCAACAGTCAAAGCATTAGTGAGTGTTCCACTTTCTTTGTTTTCCTCTGTGCAACAGCCCTGCCTGTCCTGGAACTCGCTCTGTAGATCAGGCTGGCCTCAAACTCATAGGGATCCATCTGTCTCTGCCTCCCGAATGCTAGGATTAAAGGTGTATGACACCACCACCTGGCTTGGTGTTCCACTTTGAAAGAACAAAGCAGTCAGATGTCTCTGCAAGTTTGACTGTCTGTGTGACAGCTCCTAAGACAGGTCCAGCACTCAGCTCCAAGGGGTGACTTTGGTCATAAAGATCACAATCTAGGTTCCTTCCTCTGGGCAAATCAGTTAGGACATGGGTAACATTTTACAACAAATGACTGCCCTTGAGCCTTTCCCAGAGTAAAAGAACAGCCGTGGCAGCTGGGCGGTGGTGGCACATGCCTTTAATCCCAGCACTCAGGAGGCAGAGACAGGCGGATCTCTGTGAGTTCGAGGCTAGGCTGGCAATGGTAGTCATCACGTGGCAGAAATAAAACAATGACATCCAACTTCATTTGGTTAATCATTAAGGGGTCCGGGTGCTGTGCTTTTCCCCGAAGAAGTTAGAAACAGTTTGTGGTTGAGTATGTATGTCTCTGTGCTAAGACATATGTGTCAGCAAAACTCAAGTCTCTAATACCTGTTACCCTCCTCCTGGGATCCCACACAAGCCACATGATAATCACAGAAAGGGCCCACAGAAGTTCCTGATTGATCTGCCATCCCTCACAATCTCCTTTCTCTTTCTTCTGCTGCTCATGCTTCTGGCCTCCTGGGGCTACTTGTTGCCTACAACACCCTGAGCAGGCCATCAAGCCCCTTCGGCTTTGATGTTCTCAATGGGCTTGCTCACCAAGGCATCTCACTCAGGCTATGGTAAGATGTATAGTGAGAAACTGGATACAGAAAAGTCCCACGATTCTGCAAGATGCTAGGAGGATGATTTTTCCTTTGTCACACATACATCATCTACATATGTATACGAACACATTTTGTGATATTAATAGTGTTGAATACTTCTCTAATGTGTCAATCAAGGCTCTGCATGGAAGCATTCCAGATTGGAAGCACTCATTAACTGCTCCTCCCCCAGACTGCCACGGCTCTGCTCTCCACTGCAGATACCAAACAGCAGTAGATTTATAACGTCCTGACAGTGGGACTGTCTTTCCATCAGGCTGGATGCAACCTCAGGAACAGATAGAGTGTGTCACAACCAGAATGCCCCCTTTGAATACCTGCTGGGTAAATCTTTCATAGAGCAGTGTGTGGGAAACTGAAGAAAAGAGTGCTTGTCCAGCAAGGATTAGTCAGCGAGCCTCTCCGTGACAGCAAGAACCTGAACCGGTCCTTTGAATTCTCTGATTTTCACCCGCTTTTAACTTAAGCCCCTGATGACAACCCTACATTCAATCGACAGAAAGTGAGGCTCAGACATGTTATGGATTTGCCCCAAACTTCAGACCTGACTGTGTTCAAACCCAGATCTTTCTGGGTACCAAAATAAGACTTTTATTCTTAATACGATGAGTTAACATGGCTCTAGGCATGCCCCATGACCTGGCGGGATTGGAAACATTGTCCATGAATAGTGATGTAATAACCAAGTATTTTAGAACTATAGCTGTCCCTCCTTGTGATGTAGAGGGGCAGATCAGGCCTGGAGAGGGTCTAGCACTCAGGACTCAGGGAGTGAGGCAGCTAGGTGCCACAGCCCAGGCTGCTTGCTATTTACTGCTACACTGTTTGGGCAGCTGCTTCAGGTGTAGCACACCCTTTAAACACCCCTCCTGCATTCCCAGAGGCCCATGTGCATCCATGCAGAAAACAGAGCTATGACTGAGCAAGGCCAGGTGGAAGAAGCCCTTCCAGAACCCCAGTTTGCAGGTATTCAGTGAGGAATGTAATTTCTTTGGTCCTGATTACTGAGCTCCATTTAGAAGGAATCCTCCCTGAATGTCTACAGAGTCCTTGTTAACGAGGGCCAATAAATTCCCAGCCCTCACTTTTGTTTTCACTAGCTCACCCTTTACTGAGTGGAATGAAGAGTGTTCTGTTGCCTGTAATTCACTGTTCACTACGGGCACTTAGCACAGTTGAACCGCGGCTGCTTCTCAATTATCCCTGCAAATGGAGAACAAGCCAAGCGATGGAGAAACCCAAACTGTGCATAATTGAAAACGCTTTTCTACTTGGCTCTCCCATGGGTGAGATATCAATCTGCTTGTTTGTCCTTTAAGATTTATCTCAGCTGGGACATCTTCTACCAACTCCTGCCTGCTTCTACAGACCTGGTTTGGAGGTTTTTGTTCCTGTGTTTTGTTTCTTATCTCAGGTGCATCCTTTTACAAAAAAAAAGTTGTTATATGTCAGGTAGTGTGTCTTTTCTGGATGGTGAGAATGGCAGATATGGTCCTGAGTCAGCAGAGTTCCTTGCACTGGGAGAGATGGGACTATATACCGGCTACTAATGCAGAATGTGAAAAACAACTTTCTATTCATGGGAAGCATGACAGTGTAAGCTCTCTGCGTCTGGAGTACCACAGCTCTGTAAGCTTGCTCCAGACATGGCACATGCTCCATTATCTTTGTATTTCTATCTGGAAATGTTAAACATGTCTCATCAAACGTTCACAGGTGAGAGACATCTAAGATCTGTGGCTCTGTCACATCTGCAGATGTCTGTTCCAACTACAGGGACCACAGCAGAACTACAGTGATGTAGAATGTTAGAACTTTTAGACAAGGAGGACTATGAAGATCTAGTTCTTAATCCAGGACTGGCTGCAGGCCGTATGACTTAGAGGAGTCACCTTGCTCTCTGAGCCTCAGTTTCCTTAATTAGCTGACATGACCATCTAAGGGACTATAAACTTGAGGGCAGGGGCCTTACTGTGGTCACTGTTATTTTCCCAGGTACCAAGATGATACTTAGGTGCCCCAAAACACACTTCTGAATAAACAAGTTGAATAGATGTTAAATTACTTCAAGGACCACACCTAAAGTGACGGACACAGAGAGCACATTCCTGCCAGCAGTGTGGTAATTATGTATGGAGAGACCATTTAAGGGTGTGTTGGGTGACACAAGGCCAGCTTTACCATTTTAAATGGATACTTAAAATGTGGGGAGATTAACAGTGAGTTCTGAACAAACATCCAAAGGCACAAAACACCGAAAGACTACCAGGACTCAGGTCTGTGTGCTTCCTAGAAAAAAGGGCTGGAATAAAATAAGGCCACCTTGAATTAAGGTAGTAGAAACAGGAAGATGTGTGCAACAGGGCCAGCTATGTAGATTTTGCCAGCACTAAAAAAGGAAAAAAAAAAAAGAACAGGTCTTCTAATGGCAGTGCCTTGATAGCCTGGTGATCTATAGGCCAAGGGCTTGTCTCCTGTTAAGTGCACTGAGCCTAGCAGTGTGGTAATTATGTATGGAGAGTCCATTCAAGGTTGTGTTGGGTGACACAAGGTCCACAAGGGTGGACCTGCACTAGAGGAGGCCATGGCCTTTCTAATAGATGGGATAAAATATTCACTATCGTAAACCATGCTTTCCTGGTAGTGATTGACAGATGGGAAGATCAGGAGGTCAGTGCTGTTAAAACAAGCATGGTCTTTTAGACAGTGACTTAAAATACACAATCTGATGGGGGAACCCAGAGCCACATAACACGGAGCAGAAGAGAGCCACAGGACCGAGGTGCTTTTACAGAGGTTGGAGACACCTGCCTTAGAGATGCTGTCTAAAAAGCTCTGTGACCCCAGCAGGATCCCCGGTCCCCAGAAGCCTCACTGCCCTTGTCTATAAGGTGGGAAAATGACTCAAGCTATTGTGGGTATTGTGAGAGATGAAAAGTGTGGCATGTAGACCCCTATGTGGGGGGACATCAGTGAGCACACATGTCCTGTTTCTAAGGGCCTTGCTGCCTATAAAGCAAGCCAGCTGGATTCTTGTAAGGTGTGTGTTACAGACAGCAGGAAAGACCCCACCCAGAGAGATCTATGAATCTATTTACTCATTTTACAGGTGGATAAACTGATGCCCGGAGACAGGAAGGAAATCTAATATTTAAATAATGGCTGGAGCAGGTACTTGTACTGAGATCTGGATCCACATGGATATTCATGTCCCAGGATGCTGCCCCATCACTCTCTATAACTACACACAAGCTTGTTTCAATCTCTCCCTGATGGCGGTGGGGCCCCCTACTTTATAATTGGAGATAAGGAACCCGAAAGGCAGTAAGTGCCTTGCCCTCCAACCATGACCCAAAGGTAGCTGGTGAGAAGGACCAAACCAGCTCTGCCCCAGCCTAAGGCAGCTCCTTCTGTCCCCAGTTGCTATGCTACTGTAGCTCAGCAGGATTCAAGGGTCTCTGCTATAGCAAAGGTGCTCCCTCTTCCTGGGAGGGCAAGTTAAGGGCTCTTTGGTCTCAATATGCAAACACCGCAGGGTGATACAGGACTGTAGATCTGACACTAGAGACAACTGCAATTTTTCTTTCTAAAGTCGGAAGCTTTGTAAGGGATGCATTTTGAACAGATGTTCTTTGACGCCATCCTTGCTCCAGCTCTTCCTGCTGGAGGCTCAGTGGTAAGAGTCCGGGTGGACCCAGGAGGGCATAAATAAATGACTGTCTACAAGGCCGATTTAAACTGAGCTGTTGGGAGAAACAGCATTGGGCTTGCTCATTTAGAATTCTACACATTTGATAGAAATTGAAAATACGTTTTATTTTGATTTCACAATTAACACATGCCCAAGGCTGAATAATAGAACACACAACTAAGGAAATTAAAACCACTGATTAAATAAATACATCACATCACTCCTTCTCCCATAGTACTTATGCTTTAAATGAAGACTAAGGTTCTCGTTAGTGAAAATTATCATATTTACTTGATGTGCCACTGGATCATGTTATTGTGACCCAAGACCCAAGCACTTTGATGGGATTCCTGAGGAAGCTTGGGCTTGGCCTTCACTTGTGTCTGGTTTCAGTCTTGGCTCTAAGTAGCTATGTAACCCTGGGGAATCTGCTCAACTGCCCCCTGCTCTGCAAAAATCCCCAGAATTAAAATGCCCATTTTATCATACATTTGTAAGAGCTGAATGGGATTTTAAAATGTTTTAAGTGTTCTTCACAGTTATGAATATTAATTTGCCTCCCCTTCAGGAAGGATAAAGCCTTTAGCTGGACTTTCTTTTATTCTACTATATGCCCAATGCTATTTTCATATAGTATTTTCAAATCTGTCCCTTATTTACATGAGGGAAGTTGGTTTTTTTTTTTAACCAAACTGGATACATGTGTTCCTTTGAGAAGTAAAAGACCCTTCTACTTGGTAGGTTGCAATTTTCGAGGGTATTATCTCAGTGCAATGGAATACTTGGGTTGTATGCTACTTAAAACACCTATTATCCATTCCAGACTAAAACACTGTACCCAACTGGCCATTGAAGATTTCAACATGGAGGTATGGAAACTGTACCTGGAAATTGCTGGGAACCAGAAGTCAGTGCAGCCAAAGGCATCATACAGTCCTATCTGACCACATGACCCTGGCTTCTTGAGACCATCAGTATGGTAGCATTTGCTGGTGGAAGGGGCATAGGAAGAAGCAAGGGTCTTATACCTGGTAAATGTTTTCTTCTGTTTCAGGATCACGGATTGGTTCATGTCCAGCCTCAAACACAATGTACTATATTGCAGGAGCAGCCAGAGAGGAAAAGGCAGAAGGAGGCAAAAAAAGAGAAAGAGGGAAAAAGCATTTGGAATTCAGATGCAAATCACAGCAAGCATTACAGAAGCATGCACAAGACGAATCATCTGAAATGAGGAGTGGGTTATTGGGATAAAACGGGCCTTGATAAGGAAACCTGAAGTGTTTTGCTGGCTGGCCTCTGTAGTGAGTACACTGGGCCACTACAAGGCTTTCCAGAGAGATGATGTCTTCATTCAATGGTATTTTGTCTGTTTCAGCTGAACAGAATGATGCCGTGGTGTCATGGGGATACAGACTTGCAAACTTCACTTTACAGTCCCTAAGGTCTTCCTAAGGTCCTGGGCCAATGCTCAAAGGGCTCAGAAGCCCCAAACTCTCTGGTCCCACAAACAGAATCTTACCCTTTAAAATACTGAACGTTAACTTATCTATGAGAACATTTCAGACTTAAAGGGCTGGGGCATTTCTAAAAGGCCACCACCCTCATCTTCTATGAGCCCATTGGGCAGTGGTTGAAGCTCCTGCTATATGCGACTTCTTCCTCTTCATCCCTCAAAGGCAAGGGTGTGTTCAGTGATACATTTCTGACTTGTGTTTACCTTAGATCTGTAGGTACTTTGACACTTATCAGTATGAGTATCTAAACATGATTTATTATTTTATGTTTATCACAGCCATAGTAGCTGTTGGTGTGGAGTTATGCACACATATACAGTGGTTATGTAACACAGGCTCAAACCTCACCTATGTATCCTGGTTAGAAATAAAAGTTGGAGGTTTGCTTTTATTTTCAAAATGTGAGTATAATTTTTGGTCTACTTTTTCCTCCTTAGAAATAAGCACAGGAAGGGAAAAAACCCACTTTTTCCTTTCTGAATCACTGTTTGCACAGACGTTGGACTTGACCCAAGAGAGGTCATTACCCAACCCTGTGCTGTAGACCAGGAAGAGAGCACAGAGAAAACCCTGGACAGAGATATCTCAGGTTCCTGTCTCTTACTTCACAGCAGTCTATGCCGTGAGCTAAATAATCAGAGGGTTGCTAACCCTCAAAAGGCATTCTTTAGGGTGTGCTCAAAGATTTGTGGCCATCAAAACAGCCCAGGCGGTAAGTGCTTTTCTTATAACTGTGCAGGACAGAGCTAACACTGTTGATTTTCCAAGGCTACTTCTTAGCTCATAGAGTCTACTTCATTATCCCTCTTGACTCTAATGAAGTCAGAATAGTCAAGAGACCCCTGAAAAACATTCATTTCTGGGTTCAAACTTTTCCAGCCCATGGAGGGGTCTGAGGCAGGGGCATGAAGAAGGAAGTGGATTTCCAAAGCTTTTGTTACTAATGCTGGTTAAACTTCACTCAGTGTGGAAATTCTCTCTCTGCAACTATGACCTTGGAAATCATCACACCACTTCTGCATTCAACAGGATCCTCAGCTTTCAGTTCAAGTGGCCTTACCATGGGCACAAATGCATGCAAAACCCCGATGTGGTTCAGAAATTACCTGGTACACGGGATCTTCAACATCCTCTTCCAAAATTGTCTATCTCAATGAGGGAAAGGAGGGTGAAAGCAAGGGAAACAAAGGAAGAGACGTGAGGTTATCTTCAGATAATACAGAACAGTGGAGAAGCCAGCATTGATTAGGATAGGCTAGGAGGCCATTAATGCGGAAAATACACAAAGAAATTCCAAACCCTGCAGCTCTCCACCCACTCCCTGTGTTAACAACAGCAAACCCAGCAAAGCTGCTCTGGGCCTTTAGTCTTCCTCCCCTGAAACCCTCCCCTAGATTAAAGATTCCCCTTTCTTAGCCTATCTCAAGTCTCAGGGAAAAAAAATAGAAAAGAAAGAAAGGATCACTTTAATGGCTTTGTTCAGAAGCCTGCAACCAACACAGGAACCTTTCATCTCTGTTTATTTCTGCTCAGCAGCAGGAGACAGCCCGACTTGTCGGTTTCCCATCTGTTTATTGTGGGCCCTGTCTTCTGTAGCACTGGGAGAAACGTATAGGTATACCTGGTACACAGCTTGTTCACACTGCTTATCCTTTTGTGCCTTTTTTTCCAGTTCTTCTCTTTGCTTCAGTTCGTAAATGAGTTGAAAGAGATCTCTCAAGTCCAGAATCACAGGTTCAGCCTGGAGTGAAAGGTGGCGAGACACATTGGTAAAGAACTGCAGCTACTAATTTCTGTTTGTGGCTCCGACTCACAACCCTTCCTGTTTCTATTAAACTGAAAGCATTCCGTTCTTAATTAATTCTACCTTGTTTATATTGGTTTAGCAAATTGCTTCTAGGCTAAAGTTCATTTCTTCAACTAATTATATTTGCAAATTCATAATAATCATAAGCATAAAAGGCATTGCTTTTATTTATTAGTGGTTCCCGAATACAATAAAATTAGGGCAGGCCATATGCAAAACAGCTATTTGTTTTCTCTTATTTTCTTTTTAAATGAGGCTATGAACACAAGGAAACTTATTTGTATACGTGTCTCTATCTAGCTTAATCAGAAAGGGAAAATAATTAGTCATTAGGAAATACCCATTAGGATTAAAAAAAAAAACCCAAACGGGTATGACCATGTTTCTTTGCTTTCAAAGCTGTTTATCTTTCCTAGGTGGGATTCTGTGCATCAGCTGCTGGGGGTGGCACATCATTTGGTCAGTCTGGGCCTTGGAAAATCAACAGTGTTAGCTCTGTCCTGCACAGTTACAAGGAAAACACTTACCGCCTGGGCTGTTTTGATGGCCACAAATCTGTGATTCCCTTCCTTCCCACAAACGTATCCGAAAGCCCGGTGATCCGTGATGTCCTTCGCAATGTAGGAAATTTCATGAACAGCATGGTGATGCTGAAGGGCCTGGGGACACACAAAAGGAAGAGCATGTTTCAGGGAACACAGCCCTCGAGCTGTTGATGAAGAATAAGAGAGATGTTTCTGCCATGTGTGAAAGGCCCACGGGGCTTTGGGAAAGCTGTCTGGTACAGATGGAAAGAAAAAGAGCTACGCCTGCCCTTGAGAAAGGGAGGTCTTCCTTCATGGCCTCAATGCTGCGACCAGAGATATACCCAGACTGTGCACATGGGAGTGAGCATCTGCGAAGGTGGCTTCCCACCACCCGCCGAAGCTTCCCAGTCTAACTCATCCCACGTCCCACGTGCTTCTTTGTGCTTGCAACCTTTGCAGCACAGCCCTGTACCCTCTGTCCTGATGACAAACACACTTCCTGACCCAGGCATTTGCAGGCAGTGGAAGAGGCTTTCCCTTGAAAGCACAGGGGGTGCTGTGAACTACACAGTCCTCTAGTTTTACAGGGTTACTGAGTTTTCCCAGCAGTAGGTGAAACCTATGTTGGGGATGAAAGACTTTCTCTATTCTTTTTCAAAGTCACCATTGTGTGTAGAGGAGGTCACACACACACACACACACACACACACACACACACACACACACACACACACACACCTTTTCGTCAGTTGAATTCCTCTGTCTGCAGTGTCTGGTCTCATCACCTTCTTGAAAAGCTCCTTTGATGGCCGCATGAAATAGCATCACGTGTTAAGCACCCCTGAATGGGGCTAGCCTTCCCTCTCCCTGCGGGAATAGTCCCTTCAAACGCTTGACGGATCCCTCTCACACACACTCTCACAGATTTTGCTCTGCTAAGTTTGCCTGACTCCCGGTCCTTTTCCCACACTAGACTCTCTCTTCCTAACCTCTGCCGTCTCTCAGCCCTGCCCTGTGCTCCATCCACTTTGTTGAAATGAAACAACCTGGCTGAGGCGCAATAATTTTAAATTGGCCTTTCTGTTTTTGTTATCCAAGCTGCCACAGAATCAAAGTTCTCCCATCCTATTAGGTGATGGAGAGTTTTATGGTTATTTTCCTATAATAATCCCATATATCATCTTAATTAATACTCTTTAAAGGCTTGCAGAGCCAAAAAAAAATGCTGGTGCTCAGCCCAGAATCCTTACAAAGAGCCTTTCCCCTACATCAAGAATTCTAGCCATTGTACTAATGCAAACCACCCACTAGTCCTCTCTGCACCACAGTTTGTTCCCCTAGAAAACCAGACCAAAGGCTCCTAATTCAAAAGTCCTGTCTCCACAGGGATCAATAAAGGCAATGAAAAGACAAATTTCAAAAATCTAAAAGGACTTCAGTACTATATTGAACAGATATGGAGAGGGTAGACATTCTTGTCTTGTTCTGATTTTAGTGGAAACATTTTGAGTTCCCCTCTCTCTCTTTAAAATGATGTTGGCTGTGGGCTTCTTGTGAAAAGTCATAAACTTATAATTACCCCTAATAAACCTATAAATTTTGGTACATTCAACTGTTTGTTTGGAATTGTATCTGCTTATTGCTGTTAGGTTCCCTAGCTTATGTCTGAACAAGTGGTTATGGTTCAAATAGTCCAAGAAGAAATACAAATGAGTTTAGTGGTGCACAAGATCTTTCCTATTCCTGAATGCCAGGAGGGAGGGAGAAACACAGACAGAGCAGGCAACTCTGCTATGAAAGCCTCCACAACCATGAGGATAGATGTTCTCTAGCGTTCCCCGTTCCTTAGAAGTCACTGGGGTCTCGTGGCTCAGTGATGTCTGATTCTCATGACAGCCATCACCTTAGTGTAGAGATCACCGACCTCCCACAATGTCAGTTCCTCAGTCTCGTGCTTGACCAGGCTTCTGACCCTGTGAATCATCTGCTGTTCTAGAATGTTCAACCTTGCCTTCATCTGCCAGGATGCAACTTCTACTTGCTTTTCTGATGACCCTTAGAGTTTTCTCTTCTGCTTCATCCTCTTTCCAGAGACCCTCTGCTCCCTGCCTAGCATAATGGTATCACCTCCTTATGCCCTTAGCCCTTCAACTGGCAATATGGCAACTTTACACTTTGAGTGGATTTTTGGCATGAGTGAAGTTGGTGGAGGAAGGGTTTGTTAGCAAAACAATCAGAATCTGCTTGTTTTGTTTCATCAAAAGGACAGATTTAGCTAGCAGAGGAAAATTGCTCTGAGAGTGGTAGCTTTTTCAGGGTGTTAATGATGTAAAATTGATGAGATTTATATTCACGCTACACAGGGCATTGATTTATAAGCTTTTGTGCACTAGAATGGTATGTGGCAGGGGAAAATGGGAGACAAAAAACATTTTTCTCTTCTCTCCTTTGCCTGGAAGTATTTCTTTCACTGCATAATGTAGAGGATGCAATCCATGTCTCCTATTAAATCCAAGTTTGACGACACTGTCTTATTGATTGCCAAGCAGAATATTGCTCTAAAATTAAACAGCGATTAGAAGTCTTCCTGGTGGAATTAGATTTAGAGATGACTGTGCAATGGTAAAATATCACCTATCATGAAGACAGCAGAGGAGATGTTTTAATTTATCTACGAATCCTCATTAAGTATTTTAAAATCAAAACATTCCTAATGCCTGATGATACCTAATATTGCCTTGCAAAGTGTTAGCTATGTGAGTGCATGTGAAGAACGTAGTTAAAGATATTTGTAACATTATCTTTCCCCGTAGTCAATTTTATGGCATGTTCAAAAGCAGTGCTCTCCAAGTATCTCATTCACTTGAAAACTAACTGTCACCGAGAGGATATGTCTCCAATTTCCCCCACCTTCCACTATGCAGATACAATATAGACACAGGGAAATACATACACATTAAGATTTGGTTAATTCTACAGCTGTGTTATCACATTCATTTCAGCAGCTCAGAGCATCATAAATGTTTGCCTGCTGAGCCTAGAAATTGACCTTGGTGGTCAAGTAGAGTTTTTATTCCACAACACAATCAAAGGCACTTGGAACCAGGAGGAATCTTACATTACATAGCTTGGCTATGAGTTTATTCATGAAGAGACCAAAGGCCAGAGACCGTACTTTCCTAGGCACTACAATATGGGGACTTGTCTTTCTTGCCCAGGGATGGAAAGCACTGATGACAAGAACAGGGTTGTACAGAAGCTAGGTTTCTTTTCTCTTTTCCAGGTTCCCGAGTTCAACAAACAAAAGCTGAGACTTATGAACAGGGAGGAGAAGGGGAGTGAAACAAAGAACTGGATAGGAGGAAGGAATGGAGATTTCTGTAGTTCCAAGTGCTGAGATCAGAGATAGAAATAAATCAAAACACACAGAGGTGAATTACAGGGGTCACAGAGAAAATAGTCAAGGAAGCATAAGTTGGAAGTTTACATCTAATTCTTACAAATCATTTCCAGGTCATGATATCTGACTTTCTTTGTGTGGTATCTGTGGAGTCAAAATGGTAAAGAGAGGCTAGCCAACACTGGTCATGGGTGACAAGGATAGCTTTACCCACAGAGTGTGCTTCTGTAGAGGAATCCTGAGCCACGGCAGATTATTCTAGAGGCTGCAGACGTTGACAAGTCAGAGAAGATGTGACCTGAGTGGGAGGCTGAGGGTGGAGAAAGACACACTAGGCACACTCTACTTGTGCCTGGCTTGTTATTTCTCATTGAAAGCAGTGCCTCAGTGAGACTTAGTATTAAAGTAGTTGTTGGTCTTGAAACCAGGACTTGCAGGCCCCCTTATTCTGTACCTTCTTCCCTACACCATGTGTCATCCAGGTATCAACATCCTCAACTCAGTCTGACTGCATCTTCCACATGAACATTAGGAGCCCTGGCCTGCAAATAGCCTAAGGAGCTCCCCCCTCTCCAGCCCTCCCTGGAGTGTGTATCTTCCCACCTCTGTACCATTGCTCATGTGGTTTTTCTCTGTGGGTCACTCTTGCTTTTCTCTCCCCGTGCTTCATCAGCTATATATGCAACTATTTACAGAGCTATTGCACCCATGCTCAAAGTCCAGTTGTAGTATCTTGTTCATGAAGGAACCTTTCCTAGCTATACCCCATAGTATCACATTTGCCCTTCCAATGTAAGATTCTTTGATTTGTTTTGCCCCAGAACTATTCACCCAGCTATTCACATCACATGTGTATTGAGGGTTGGCTGTGATCTGGTTTCATGCTATATATCTACACAAATGATGAAAACATCATCCCTCCCTCAAGGATCTTATGGTCTCATAAAGCAGGCATGTGACACAACGTAAAAGCACAATACGGCATGGCAAGAGTTACACTGAATGCATGTTGCACAGGCTGGGAGCAGAACCAGGGAAGGGGCATGGGGAAGCCTTGATAAAGGTCTGTGAACTCAATCCAAGTCTTGAAGGATAAATGGGCAGTTCCCAGAAGAGTAGGGCAATGATTGTGTTATGAACACACTTAGTTCCTAAGTACACGTTCTCCTCTCTTCTCTGCTTTGGGAATGTTAAACCTCCAGGAAACATTCCACATTGGTGGGTTCTCTTCAGTTCCTAACAAGCTTTTCTTGACACAGAAAGTGATACATAATGAGTACCGAAAGAGAGGAAGGGCAGGCCACTCCATCTTGGATGTGTAGTACTCAGGGTAGGTACTCAATAAATGCTCATGGAATACATGAATTGGGTTAATTCACGACATTTCACATAGGATTCATTCTGTGAACAGAGGGATTCTTAGCATCATTAAATCTTTTTCTTTGCATTTCCATGAGCCATTTAACAATGTTTAAATGAAGTATCAAATTGTTTGGGGGGCTACTGTCTGACAGAATAAATTACAGAGAAGACTTAATTTGTACTATGGTTCAATACAGCCAATTAAATACAGTATGGATTAGAAAGTCATCTGCTCAAGTCTTTCCCATTAGCTATTTTTAAGGAATAAATTTTATCACTTAGCTTGTATATAATCATTGTGTATATGTATATTCTGTCTGTCTGTCTCTCTCTCTCTCCCTCCCTCTCCCCCTCAAGCAATATTGTTCAG